CCAAACGTTTTTTAAATATGGATAGTGATGGTGCATCATTCAGCATCATTATACACGTTAGCTAGAGGTGTAAAGCACCTCAGCTACTGCGCAGCAATCCATAAAAGAAAAATGAAAACAAATACCACAGTTGTATGCCAGCTGAGTTACTAGCAACGGATAGGCATCGTTCCGGAAAGATACCAGCCGGCAACTAGGCAAACAGAAAAATTATTGTGTAAAATAATATTACGCTACGAAATGCGATCGTGGTTGGAGGGAGAAGCTTAAACGGATGGGAGGGAAAAAGAAACGCACAGCAGGAACACCAATGAGGTCGACTCTTAGCCATGTCAGCAAGTGTATCAAGCCAAACGAGTTCATCGTCTTTTGGACCCCAACCAGGGAGCCGTGAAGCTCCAACCGAGGCCAAGTTCGAAGTGAGGACCTTCATTCCTCGCGACCAAGTCATCGCTTGGCCACCCCTCCTCTTCTTCCATCCACACCCCCGGCGCGCAAACAACGCACGTTGCGGAAGTCGGTGGGTTGGCATGGACAACACGTGGTCAAGCCATCAGAGCCTAGTACGTGAAATGATGGTGCTGAGCGGTTCAGATCCTTTTCCTGGGCCGTAAACAAGGCGTCGAACACGCTCGCTGCTCATGCAGGATTTCCACCAGATGTAAGCCAAACTGAGAAGGCACCGATGATCGAACGTAAATAGCCTATTTATGTCCGCTGATCTAAGGGATCAGGTTTCAAAACCGTACAGTAAGGTCGAACGTACCGCTGCATTGTACACTCTACGCTTCAGGGCGAGAGTGATGTCACGCAAGCGCCATAAGTGGCGGAGGTTAGCAAATGCGCCTCGAGCTTTTGATATACGGTTCGTGATCTCATCTTCGATCCCAAGGGCGTTGATTCAACTACCCAGGTAGTTGAATTGTTGAACGACTTCTAGCTGATCTCCAACAAGGGACAGCGCAAGAGCCGATCCCTGCAAATCCCGGAGGAAAGCTTTGCACTTCGAGGGTGCAAAGCATAGTCCGAAACGGCTGACAGCCAGTGCTAATCTGTCCAGTGCAGCTTGGCACGTCTGGGAGCTGTCACAGATGAGGGCAATGTCGTTCGCATACTCCAAGTCAAGAAGTCGTTCTCCCGGGAGTAGCTCCACACCTTCTAAGTCGTGTCCTGTAAATGCAATCTCTATGACATCGTCAATAGCGAAGTTGAAGAGGAAAGATGACAGCGGGCATCCTTGTTTCACACCGCCGGAGATATTGAAGAGCGGCGACAGCTTGCTGTAAGCGATCACTACGCCCATGCTACGCGCGTATAATGTTCGGATATTAGTTAGATACGTCTCGCGCACACCTTTCTGGAGTAGGCAGTCTCAAAGGGCACACCAATCAACCGAATCGAAGGCACCTTTGATGTCGAGGAACACGACAACGGTGAGCCGCCAATATATGTGACGGTGCTCCAACAATTGAGGCAAAGTGAAGATGTGGTCGATGCAACCACGACCCCGACAAAACCTGCCTTGCTCTAAACGAATCTGGCTTTCACGGACGCCAGTCAGTCTGTGAAGGATTACGGAGGCGAGTAATTTTGAAGTGATGGGGATCAGACTGATTCCTCTATGGTTGCCACATTCCGAACGCAAGCCACCTTTGAAGATGGGAACAATAACTAAGCGGCTTCAGTCGGTTCGGACAGTCTCCTGCTCCCACAGTTTCACTAGTAATTCATGTAAAGCATCAACAAGAGCAGAGCCCCCGCAATTGAAGAGGGCTAGATGAAGATCATCGGGTCCCGCGGCTTTGTTCAACTTCAACAGTCCGATCTCGCGTTTGACTTCTGATCGAGAGGGCGGATCCAAAGGAACAGCCCAGGGAGTGGGGCGATCAATGGCCGGCGAGAAATCAAACAATTCCGACAGATTAAATTACCTTTTGAAATGCTCATCCCAACACTCCAAGCGTTTTGACAAGTTGTGGATAGGCTGTCTACTCTCGTCACAAATTGCTTGCCAACAACAGGTATCCTGCTGCCCGTTTCCCGTATCAGACGGAATAAATTGCGATGGTTGCTAAGGGCAGCGGCCACTTCCATCTATGATGCACGAAGAGACCACCAAGATTCGCGGTCTCTCCCCACACTAGCACGGAGTTTTGCCCAGAGCTCTTTGCGAGTTTCACTGTGTTCGCTTCCAGCCCGAATATGCCGGTGAGCATCGATAATCACCAGAGACTGCGAAAAGGCACAATGTCCATGTTGGCTATTAGACTTATCACATGAGGATTTGCCTGATGCTAGTAAGGTCTGGTGAACATGCGACTAGTGACCTTCAACTGTCTCCAGCGAGCGCTTACTCAACTCGCATGTAAGCGTACTTCGATACGCATTCAGAACAGATGGTTTTGTCAGTTGGCTGGTGTCAATGCGCTCACAACTTCGTGGGCGTCCGTCAAAAGGCATTAGCATGTCAGCACATACAGGTGCATGGTCGGTGTCCACACATGTGCTCCAAATCGAGCGACAGTTCTGAAAGCAGCCTCTCCAACGGTGACTTATCGCAATGCGATCGAGTTGCGTCCATAGCTGGTTCGAGGTTGGTGGGCGCCAAGTCACCCTCCGGCGGGTGCCGTGTCGGAAGTTAATGCTTGCAGGTAACAAGCTGGCATCTTCACACAAATGTAGTAACCGCTCACCCTTATCGTTACGAGAGCCTACACCGTGCTAATCACCCATATGCATTTCATCAGTGGACAATTTACCAACTTATGCGTTCAGATCCCCCGTCAACACTACAGTGTCCGTGCTTCTTCTGTGGTGGAGGAGCTGGGTCAGTTGGCGGTAGAAGTCGTTTTTTACTGAATGATCTCTACAATTTGTGGGCGCGTAGGCAGCGATGATGAATTGACACCTGTTAGTCCCGAGCGACTTCGAAGCTTTGAACGAAGCAGCCAATCGGACCGCACACAACCAGCTACTGATTAGAATCCAATCAACCAGAGCAGCTTCAGCCCGGGGACTCAGGGCAATAACAACACTAGCTTGGCCGGTGCTCGAAGCTGCATCATTGCCGGATAAACGCAATGAGAAAATACTGCTGGTGTCACCTGAAGGGGATCGCAAAGTGAGCACAGAGCCCGAGTCTTGCAGGCGGGTCTCCGATAAGCAGCAGATATGGATCGAGAGGGTCTCTAATGTTTGGGAAAGTGCTGTCTGTTGACCGATCTCTGGCAGTGCGTACATTGAGGTATGCCAATCTGAAGGAGGATCGAGGGCTCCAAATGGAAGCCGATGAACTGGAGTGGACCGCTTGGTTAAACATGGGCTTGTCGACAGGATAGGAGTGACGCTCAGCGTAATCATGTGTTTAAACTGGAAGATAAACGCCTAGCAAAGCATGTTGGGGGAGGACAGCGTTGGGGAATTTAAAACAGATGGGACAGAAGTGAAGTTGGAGTGAGACGATAAGAGTGAAAAAGCGTAAGAGGGGGAATAAGAAGATGGGTAGACTTGAGCAGTAGCATCCAAATCCCTATCCATCCTGCTCGATGCAGCAGATAGGGCACCGTTGATTATCCTCTGCGGTGGTCAGAGCATCAGAAATTTGTTTGAAGAGAGATTCATTGTATTGCGTGGGCAGGATACTGTCAGGTTGCCCGGGCCTAGACAGGAGAACGATTAGAGTTCTCAACCAAAGCCTTAGGTTGAAAAACTTTACCACAAGGCAGTGGGTTTGGCTTTCGGCTACAAGGAGTCCAGTTTAAGGAATAAGAAGCCATCCTCATTCCAACCCCCCAACCTGGAGTACCAGGAGGGTGAGTTTGTGTGGCCTCTAACCATTGACCAATCTGGTATGAGTGGCTCTGAAGGTGCAAAAAAGCACCACCCAGCATAGCTCAATGGATCACTGAGGCACACAAGCCATCGCACCACGGTAAGATCCAGCCTCATTGCGATGGTGCAGAAATAACCGATTCTGGGAGAGCATTCCACGGGTGACAAATGCGGACGGAAAAGAAATTCCTGCGGCAATTCAGGCGGGTTGTACTGTTCTGGCAGTTTTAGTGAGTGACCTCTCAAGTTGGTATTACTGCTGAGTTGCACTAACAGGCGGCACACATGGCGTGGATCACGCAGAATTAAGTACACCATTAGTACGTCACTTCGTAAGCGGCGGTAACATAAACTAAATACCCCCAATCGTTCCAGTCTCTCCTCGTATGGAAGATGGTGCATTCCAATGACGTACTTTGATGTTCGACGTCGGGAATGCTACAACGCACTAAGGTCGTGGTTTAGCCATGGGTGCCAGGCTTGAATTGCATATTCGACATGCGGACGGACATACGCACTAAGCACCTGCCGGAAAATAGAGCGATCTAATTGTCCAAACACCCATCGCAAAAGATCCACATGTTGGTTAGCAATTTTGGCTGCTTTAGCGGACTGCTTGGAACAACCCAGATTGTTCTGAACCAGTACGCCCAAATCACGTTCGG